ACTACTACAACTATAACTACTACTACTACAACTACTACTACTACAACTACTACTACTACAACTACTACAACTACTACTACTACAACTACTACTACAACTACTACTACAACTACTACTACTACTACTACTACTGCTACTGCTACTGCTACTACTACTACTACTACAACTACTACTACAACTACAACTACAACTACTACTACTACTACGACTACTACAACTACTACTACTACTACTACGACTACTACTACCACTACCACTACCACTAATAATAATAATAATAATAATAATAATAATAATAATAATAATAATAATAATAATAAATTCAATAATAATAACAAACCTTCAGGCGACTCATCCTGTAGATATGTACCAGTCAAATACCTATGCACCAGTGCAGACTTGCCACTATTAACAGTACCAAGAATACCCTACATTATTTGTATTTTTGTGTGTTTGAATGTGTGTGTGTGTGTGCGCGCGCAAGTGTGTGCGAGTGTGTGTGCGTGCGTGCGTGTGCGTGTGTGTGTATACTAACTAGTTTTAGATCTGGCACAGCCCTACTTAAGGTCCATTCTTGGCTGTTTACAAAGGAATCTTAAAAGAAGTTAGTATTATTTAATAGGTTTACTTTTACTTTACACTAATTTTTTTTTCATTAAAATGCATGTAGTAGTTATATTAATGAAAAACTTATGTCAAAAAACAATCTTTGATGCCATTTGAATTTGATTATTGAACAAATTAATAAAAAACCAAATGAAATAATAAATCAAACAAATTTATGAAAACTAAGGTTTCTCAGAAGTTTAAGAAAGTTTTTCTACATGTATTGATTAATCATTCATTAATATGTTAATTAATTAACTAATTAATAATTTTTTTAACTAATCAATTAATTATTGAAGAGGCAGATAAAAATAAAAAATTCAATCACCTTCAATACAAACAACATGTTCTCTCAGCTGCTGTTGCACTAACAAATCAGGAATGGCCTCAATTAGATCATAGATGGCGTAAATACTGGGGTGTACGCTCTCAAACCTCTGTATCTCCTGCCTAATCGCTACGGAATTGTTGTTAAAATACTGTTGTTGCTGCTGGTGCTGTTGTTGGCTAGTGACAATGTTTGACGTTGGACGAGTGTTCATCATGGTTGCGCAAATTAATTTGCTAAAATCATTTAAATTAAGATTTTAATTTTAAAAATCGTTTTTTAATTGTTTTAATTTTAAAAACGTAAACTCGGAAAATGTGAAATTAAATAAATTTCTAAGCGATTTCTGATCACTAAAATGTTAAAAATTCCCAAAATGGCTAAAAAAACATCTGATAACGGAGATGTACCTACAAATATTTATTAAAAATTACCTTTGCTTCGTATTCAAGCAAAACCAGATCAGAAATTCTAATGGCCAATGTGAACGAGCGATTGAAATGAAGAAAGACCTGTTAATATGTTCTGTCGATTACTACAAAGCTTTTGATAGCGTGAAACAGTGGAGCTCACGGAAATATTGAAAAATTTGGACATTGATGGAAAAGACACGAGAGTTATCAAAAATCTCTATTGGGAAATAAGAGCAGTAATGAAAGTTAGTAACATGATGACTAGTTTTGTCGAAATAAAGGAAGGTGTTAGGCAAGGCTGAGTATTCTCTCCAGACCTGTACAATCTCTACAGTGAGAAAGATAGAAGATCCACTTGGAATACACAGTGGAGGCATGAATATTAACAATTTAAGATATGCTGATGAATACATCTCTTATAGCAGATTCAATGAAAGAACTGCAAACAATTGTTTCCAAACAGGTTATTGAAAGTGAAAGGAAAGGCTTGCAAATTAACATGAACAAAACAGAATGCATGTTGATGGTCGCCAAAGAAGATTGTTACCTTTATTATCACTAATTAATCAACAAATTAAACAATTAATTTGGCATTTAATTAAATATTTACTAATCATTATTAAACAAAATAAATTCGACAAAATCCAAATACAATTTTTTCAATTTTATTTTCTGGTAGATACATATTACATCACTTATAGCCAACCATTCAAACGAACAAATTAATCACAATAATAATAATAACAATAATAATAACAATAAATAATAGTAACAGTGACAATAAAAATAAATTTAATAAAGTCTTATTCTTGTTTTTTTACGAAAAATAGAAAAAGCAAACATCTAGTAAATCAAACAGTCCCAAGTTCAAATAAAATATTACATTAAAAAATAAATACACAGATAATATCGAATGGTTGTAACAATAATTATATTATAAGTAAGAATAATAATTAATATATTATAAATAATAATAATTTTATTATTATAAATATAATTAAAGGTTTGCTGCCATATATTTTTGACAAATAAATGTGAATGTAACTCTAGAATGTTAACATTCATCCACATTTTGAATTGAAACAATAAGAGAAAAGATATCAATATAATAACTTATAAGAATGTATAGCAGTGTATTTTTAATCAATCTTCAAACTGGGCCTCCAGAGACCCACTTCAAAGACTGATTGTAATACACTGCTATACATTCTTATACGTTATTATATTGATATCTTTCTCTCTCATTGTTTCAATTCAAAAAAAGCAGTGTATTACGTACTACACTTGAAAAAAAAAAAAAAAAACTTTTGGCTGACGTGAATGGTTGAAATGATGAGGATGTATCATGGATATACTATATATATATATATATATATATATATATATATATATATATATATCCATGTATATATTATATATACCCATGGGATGTCTGGTTCAAGCGAATATAAATAGGAGCTGAGAAAGCATTAAGAATGACGACGATGAAAATGATGATGATAAGAGAGATAAAATTATCATCATCGTCGTCGCCATCATCATAAGTTATGGAGATGATGGAGAATGGGGAAAATATAATGACCATTATTCCATCATCAACATCCTCACCATGGGTTATTTCTCCTTTTAAAAACAAAAACTGCAATAGAAACGACAAATTCTACAAAAAAGAGAGAGAAATATACTAGAATCCTTGACATTTTTTTTGAAGAAAATACACACTATACAAGCATATATTACACAGACTCTAAATATGAGTGTGTGCGCGTGTGTGTTTGTGTATGTGAGAGTGTTTGTGTGTGAGTGTGTGTGTTAGAACGCCGATGAGAGATAAAATGATGATGAAGATGAAACGAACGAAGACACCAAAAAAACGTTACACCATAAAATAAACAACACACCAAGACAGTAAAAAACAAACAAACATGCAAACGCATGTGTGAACTAGTATAAAATAGCTCTATGTTAGGATCATAAATAAAATAGCTAGGATCATAAATTCATCATGGATCTTGACATTGATAAAGATCATGCAACTACACACACGCACACACACACAAACACACACACACACTCATACATAAATACATACGTGAATACATACACACAAACACACACACACACACACACACACACACATACATAAATATATACACAAACACACACACACACACACGCACGCACATACAAACATATATGAGATCTATTTTAGAAAATAACTCCATCAGTAACGCACACAAAAAAATGAAGGCTGGAACACAAGCTACTAGCAAAATACATACAACCTTATTATGATAAAATATCATTCCTTGCTAACCAATCAGCCAACAAACACCATCCCCATCATCATCCTCATTATTAATATTATAAAATAATAACTATTCTATAGTAATAATTATTCTAAAATGATAGTTATTCTAAAATAATAGTTATTCTAAAATAATAATTATTCTAAAATAATAATTAATCTAAAATAATAATTATTCTAAATTAATAATTATTCTAAAACTATAATTATTCTAAAACTATAATTATTCTAAAATAATAATGACAATAAATGACTGAAACAATTATATCATCATCTCCTCTAATTGATCATTATGAAAATTTATCCTAAAGATTTTTAATAACTTTAGTAGTAAGTAATTACATACACACGCACACTTACACACACACACACACACACACTTACATAAACACACACACACTCATATATATATATATATATATATATATATATATATATATATATATATATATATATATTTGGGATAAGTTAATGTTATAACAAACGAAGAACCATTTAAAAGGAATGAGATTAATATGAGAATACGAAAATAAAACACACACACACCACACACACACACACACACACTCCTATTTACGTACGTACATACATAAACATACACGCGCACACACACACACACACACACAAATACACACAAACAAACACACACACACACAAATACATACACATACTAATGCAAGCACACATCTCTTAATATTATAGAATGACCTGAATAATTTAGATAGTATTACATAAATAAATAAACAATATCTATTTATCTGATTATTCATTCATTCAATCAATCAATCAATCAATCATTCATTCATTCATTCATTCACTCATTCATGCACTCACTATTCATCTCAACAATCTTTCCATTGAAAGTAAGTCTAGAATGTGCCGAAAATGAGTCATGCCTATATATGTATAAATAAATTCTTTCAGTAAAATATAATGGCCATATTTATAGTAAAAACAACAACAACAATAATAATAATAACAATAATAATAAAGCAACAGCAATAATAATAATAATAATAACAACAACAACCAATCAATTATTGTCTATCAATCAGTTATAATGCTGCCCATCGAAACGACTACAACCACTGTCATCGATGTTGTTGCTGTTGCTGTTGTCGCTGCTGCTGTTGACGTTGCTGTTGTTGTTGTTGAAGCGTTGATAATTGTTGTTGTTGTTGTGGTAGTGGTTGCTGCTGCTGCCATAGTGATAACGCTGTTGCTGTTGCTGCTGCTGCGAATGGTAGTAATGTTGATGAAGATGATGATGACCGCTAGCATCGTAATCATTATCATAACCGCGACTGTTGTTGTAACGAGTGTTGTAACCGTTGTAGTGATTGCTTCTGCTGAGTCTGCTGTTGTTGTAATCATAAGCAACGACGTTGTTTACGTTGTTGTTGTAATAGTTATGGTAATAATCAGCACTGACGTCTGCGTTGTTGTTGTTGAGGCTGGTGCGGTCGATGAAGTTACCACCACTACTACTGCTCCCACTAACACTCGAGGCGCTTGCTTCGAAGTTGCCGCCTCTACCACTACTACTACTACTACTACTGCAGTGGTTGTTGTAGTCGTAGCTGTAGTTGTCTCGATGCTGTTGGTCGTGTTGGTGCTGGTAGTGATATGGTTGTTGTTGCAGCTGCTGTGGCTGCTGCTGCAAGTTCATGGCAACTATCTCAGATTCCTGCATGAACTGCTCGAACGCCGTCGCCGTTTCATTGTCCATCTTCTGATCACCTATCCAATACTGGTCAGCTAAGCTGCTACTGGTGGTGGAATCATCATCATCATCATCATCATCATAACTACCACCATCACCATCATCATAACTACCATCATCATCATATCTACCATCATCACCGCCATCCAAATTCACCTCTGTTTATCACTTCACCGTATGTTTTGCCACCTCTCTCTCCCTCTCTCTCTCTCCCTCTCTCTCTCTCCCTCTCTCTCTCTCTCTCTCCAACACCACCAATCATCATCATCCTCATAACTATCGACATCACCATCATCACATCCCTCATCATCACATCCCTCATCATCATCACAACTCACCCCCGTTCGTTGCATTCCTCCATTAGGCTGGCCATCTCTCTTTCATCTGATGAGAAGGAGCTGTCATTGTACAGCTCGTTGCCGGTCTGCAGTTGGATTCAATTTAGAAAATCTTTCATTCAGTAGAGTACATTAATTAGAAGCAACGTCAAAAAACAGTATTAAAAACCGGACAATAATATCACACACACACGTACGCACGCACACACACACGCACCACAAACATATGGCCAATTAACTAACCAAACTGACTGAACAAACAAACAAACAAACAAACCAACCAACCAACCAACCAACCAGATTAATAGGATTCTCATCATCAACCGGCGAATCAAAACTATCTCCGGCTCCAGCCCCGATGAATGGCTCCGTAGAATGCTGCGACTGCTGTTGCTGCTGCTGCTGTCCCCAGTTGTTTAGGCGCTGATTCATCACTGACTGCATTAGACAGAGCAGGTTTCTGGCGGGCGTGATAGTTTGCGTGTGTGTTGTGTACGTGCAGCATGCAAGTGTCTGTGTGTTTGTGTGTGTGTATGTGCAGTATGCAACTGTCTGTGTGTGTGTGTCTTGCATGAAAATAGGCACTGATTATACAATGTACATGGTCACATGTAACGCTAGTTTGTTCGTGCGCGCGTGTGTGCGTGCGTGTGTACGTGCATATACCTGTGTGTATGCGCGTGCGTGCGTGTGAAACACTAACTGAGGCAAGGATTGTTCGTTGACGATGGTGTTCATCTTATTGAAGATGTCGTTTAAGCTGGGCAGGCTCTCCTCTAGCACTGCTCCTGTCAGCTGTCAAACAATTTATAGATACAAACTAATAATTATAAAATAATCCAAGAGCAATAACTATTATACAACAACAACACACATTTAGACGACATTTTCCCCGAGATCGGGGGTTGCCGTTTGACTACCTATGATGAAACCGAAATACCCCTCGAGGCCATTCCATCATAAGTAATTTATTTGGCTAATTTTTACGCAGGACGCCCTTCCTTACGCAACCACAGTTATAAGCGGTGGGCCCTGCCTTTGATGATCCAACATCACTCACAAGGCAGTGAGGGTCAGTTTAATGTCATAACCAGGACAATAACTATTATAACTATATTTATTCTGAAATTATGAATGATACAACAATAATTATGACGAGTTGGAGTTGATTGTATGCATAGCGTATACAACTGCAGTTAAAACAGAGAAATGAAACAAACTATTAAATAGAGTTGGGATTGAAATAGGGAGTGTATTTTGCCTAGAAAATGTTGATTTCACAGCACCATCACCCCAAATGCCATACAAACGTCTAAAACAACAACAACACCACAAACCTTAAGCAACTGCACACAGCACATAAGAGCCTCCTTCGAATGGTCATTCAGCAGGTACATTAGCAAGTTGCCAATCTGATTCGAGAACTGGGGGATGACTTCGTTTGTCGACACGTCCTGGTTTTGTTGTTGGTGTTCATTTTGTTGTTGTTGTTGCTGCTGTTTCAGTAGTAGTTATTGACGAATGAATAGATGGATGAAAGAACGATTGAATGAGCGTGTATCATCATCGTCACAAATAACAACATCACCATCACTATCACCATCTTCACCACCACCATCATCATCACAACCACCAAGGTAGGTCATCATCATCATCATCGTCACCTTCATATTGAGCAAGAGTTCTCCGACAAAAAGTGAGTAGCCGATGATATGTGCTAAGGAAGTAGGTCGAGGTGAGAGGATTTCATCATACTCCTGCTCACATCTGACAAAAAATAAGATAACATTGAAAATATCTTTATCAATGAAACCAATCAACCAACAAATCAAGCGATCTGTAAACCAACTATCCAACCAAACAACAAACAAACCAACCAACTAACAATCAAACTAATCAACCAACCAGCCAGCCAACCAATCAACCAGCCAGCCAGCCATCCAATCAACCAGCCAGCCAACCTGGCTAAAAAAAGTCGCTGGAAATCATCAAAAGCTCTTTCCTCACTATGAGAGAGATAGTTACACATTCTGGCGCCTGTGTACCTAAAATTCACCTCCTCAATTGACTGATGGGAAAAAATGTATGAATGAATGAATCATAATTTATCTTCATAATTATAAGTAATCATGGTTAATAGTTATTAATATATAGGAATAATAAATCATTACCACTACAACCAACCAATCAACCAACCAACCAGCCAGCCTATGAACCAACCAATCAATCAACTGACGAACCAGCTAAACAATTAATAACCAACTTGAGTAAATATCTCCTCAATGACAGACATAAATGAATGGTCGCCTGCTGATATCAAAGCTGCCAACTTCCTGGCCAGGAATGGCATGAATTGTTCAAAATTTCCAGGATCGTTGGTGAACATCTGTATGCCCTGTCTTAAATCTCGAAGGATAAGCTCATTCTGTTTCAACTGCTCCAAAGTCATGCCGGCCAATGTGCTATGAGGACTGTTTTGATGTCTGTCGTCGTCGTTCAGAGTTAGTGGGTCTAACCCAACAGGCTACAAAATGTTTTTATTTTTAGTCATATCTTAATTAGGACTTTTTTTTATAAGATGTAGATGCAAAAACAAATTTAGATAAAGAGTTATTAGTTTATTATACTATCTGAAAAACATAGAAATTATGCAAAATATTAAAATGGTATCAAACCAGTTCTAATATAAAGTTCTTTGGATAGAATTCTGGAGCATCAGCTGAGAGAGCTTTTGACTTGGTTGTATTATCACCAACCACCAGTGATAATGATAAAGAAGCAGCTGCGTTGTTGTCGGATGGTGCCAATGCAACAAAAGATGCATCTACATGTTTAATTTTAATAACAGTTACAAGAACTAATTACTAAATGGTTATTAATATTTTTTTAAACATTTTAGTTTAATTTTTAATAGCATTATTAAACTATAGTATATACTATATATTATCACATTAGTATTAGTAGTCATTATTGCTTCAGACATTTAAACACAAAAATGGTAACAAAATATTCAATCAAAAATTTATATAATTATATTATTATTATTATTATTATTATTATGTAATATCTCTAAAAACTAAAAGTTAATTTTTTTAATTTTAAACAAAAACTCCCATTTTAAAAATTAGCTTTTTGGTAAGTAACAGTAACAGTTAGTTGAGTTAGAAAAAAAAAATTAGTATTGAAGCAAGCGTGCGGTTAATTAAGTTTTAAAACCTTCATTTGCATAGTCCAGCTTCCCATGGGCATCTTCTTGAACCTCACCTAACTGTTCTAACTCTTTTAACTGGCGGTCCATATTTTAATTTAACGAAACTAAAACGACAAATATTTCTTGAAATAAATAAATTTAAAAAATAAAATATTTCGGTGGTCCCTGAAGATGTTGTCCTGATTAGTGTTAAATTAGCGTTATGTCTTAGAGAAGCATTTTAACTTAACTGGAATGAAATTTCGCACAAAGCAGTTAAATTTGAAAACAATTTTCAATTCCATTTATTAGGCGTTCAACTTTTTTCTTTGACAAAATTTTTCGTGAAATTGAAAATTCTAAGTTATTTCCACCAAAAAAACCATTTTTTATAATGACTCTAAATCTATAAAAAGTTAACGTTTTGTAGTTTCTTCAATCAAAATATAACAAAAAGTTAAATATAACATGTCGTTTGAGTTTTTAAGTTTCACTGGCCCGTTTATAAACACTAGTCACATTAATGTACAAATTTACTGATGTACAAGTACATACATTCAATCATTCGTTCAATCCATTCATTCGTTTATTTATTTATTTAACCCATTCATTTATCAATCAGTACGGAGTTGTTTAACACTTTGCATGTATGCAAAGATTGAAAATAATTAAAAACATTGAAAACGTTATTTCATGTATAAAAAATAAATCTAGAGAAGAAAAGAACAAACAGACTGAACATCTTTTCAATCATAAAATGGAAAAAATTGTGAAACGTTTGTCAAGCAAGTGAAACGTTGTTAAAGCACAAGAAATGTTAAACAAATTCAGTTTAAATTCAAATAAATCTAATGTAACCTAATTAGCATTCAATTAAAGGACCTTTTAATCCAGCTAAAATTTAAAAATCAATTACTTAACTAATTAATTTTACATTCATCAATCGACTTCTTTAAATTACCACTTTTATTATCGCCACCATCATCGTCGTCGTCGTCATCATTATTGCCTTTTGATTCACTTGAAAAATTTACTTTTTTAACTTTCTTTGCTGGCATAATCTCTGATAATGATGATGATGACGACACGCTAGCAACAGCAGTAGTAGCAGTACTACCATCATAATTAGTAGTAGTAGTAGCGGTAGTAGTAGCAGTAGCGGTAGTAGTAGCAGTAGCGGTAGTAGCAGCAGCAGTAGCATTAGTATTATAAGTTACTTTGAGAAAATCTTGCTTAGGATGGGAAAGGTTAATTTGATCTATGAGAATGTTGTGAGTTGGGTGACTTTTAATATCAATAAAAACGTTACCAGCATCATCGTCGTCATCATCGTCACCATCATCATCATGGTCATTTTTTTTTCTACTCTTAAAATTTTCGTCATCAAGAGCGTCATCAAAATCTGTGGTGATTTCATCGTTGCTGAAATCCTTAGCCTCTTCTGCATTACGTTTATAATTGACGAGAACATTTTTGTTAGCGTCACCACCTTCAGCTGACTTCAAATTCTCTTTATTGTTATTCTTTAAGATAGAAGTGGCAGCTGTAGTAGTAGCAGCAACAGTAGTAGAAGCAGCAGTAGTATTAGCAGTAATATTACTAGCAGGAAGTAAAAACTTCGGAATTCTACTCTTTTGTTTTACACATGTACTGGTAGCAGCAACAACAGTAGTAGTAGTAGTAGTAGTAGTAGTGGTAGTAGTAGTAGAAGTAAAAGTAGGTGTAGCAGAAGCAGCAGTAGTAGTTGAAGTAGTAGCAGCTGTAGCAGTGGTATTAGCCACAGCAGTAGCAGCAGCAGAATTGTCATCATCATCATTCACCTTGTTATTTTTGTCATTGACATATGGTTTAAATGAAGAATTTATTGATGGAAAAATAGTAGAAATAATTTTGGTGGATAAATTGGTTGATGTTATTGTTGATGACGTCACTGGTGCCGCTGATGTCATGAGACAATGTAATGATGTTGTTGATTCCATAGCAGTATTAGATGAAGGAAGTGTTGAGGACTTTGATGTCATTGTCAGTGATGAAGTAATTGTAGCAGCAGCAGAAGCAGCAGCAGCAGTAGATGATGAAGTTGATGTTACAGACAATGTAATTGATGTCATAGCTGATGTCGTTGCTGATGTAAATGTAGTTGATGTCGTCGTTATTGATGTTGTTGTGTCACTAATTTGAAATTTTTTCCTGGAAGGAAAGTTCAGCTTTTCAGTGACAAACTCCTGCTTGGGTTTCTTACTCATTTGGAGGTTTTCTGTTAAAAATAAACGAAACGATATACTTATCAAACTTCGTTGGACAATATTAAACATTATTAAAAATTACTAAACATTCCAAAATAGTATTGAAAACACAAAACAATTTAGTGTAAAATACTTAAATAACGCTTAAATATTAGAGTTAAACTTACTACATCTGGAATGAATGAATGAACAGATGAATGAATAACAGAAAAAAAATCATCCTCTGGTCCACCCCTCAAAAACAACACAGTCAGAGAAATGGACTCACCCGGCTCATACTTTGTAACTAGCTCTTTATACTTGATTTCTAGCTTAGCTTTGCTGGATTGGGCAGCAATCAGCTCGAGTTTTGTGTTATGTAGTTCGAGTTCTGCCTTTCTTAAGGCATCTTCTCTTACTAGCAGCATCATCCTCTTCGTCTGCAGGTCTGCTGCCAGGTTCTTTGCTTCATTTCTGTTGTTCGTTGGGGATAAGTTATTTGATGGAGAAATAAACTTCAATTTTATGAAAAATTTATCAAATACACAAACAAGTCTACGTGGGGATGTGGAGAGAGAAAGAAAAAGGAGAGAGAGAGAGGATAGACAACTTTAGAGGGGATGGGCCAAAATTTTTAAAAATGTTTAAATTTCAAAATTCAACAGGGAGTCAAGAAACTAACAGAATTCGTTGTAGTGCATCTAAAATAAGACTGACAACCTATTTTTTGCTTATCACATCAACTTCTGGTCAATTTTTTCCTTAAAATGGGGTTTTTCTTGTGAAAAAAATTAATTTTACTGACTTTTAACCACACAGTCCTCCACATCCGCCACTGGGCATGGCTTGTGAGGAAAGAAACAGAAACAAGAGTTACGAGTGGTTTAAATAGAGAAAGTAAAAAAGATGGTGAGCGAGAGAAAGAGTGAGAGAGAGAAAGAGAAAAGAGATGAATAGCACTAACTCCTTAAACTCATAGAGGAGTTGATAATTCCTAGTGCCAGCATTGTTTCCTGCGGAAGCAACAGCATCACCCATCCCTTCCAACTGAGACTTTCAATTCAAAGTAATAAAAAAAACATTTCTCAGTGTAAAACTAAAACACCACAACACAACACAAAACTACAAAAACCGTCAATTAAACTGAAATAAGCAAAGAAACACAGCAACACAAAACCAAACCAAAATAAACAATTTGACCTACTTTGCTGGCTTCCAATTGGGCGACCTTTGAGATCAGCGACCTGTTCTCTTCAGCCAGGTAATTCAGTTCAGTGTTCAACCGATCATGCCTCTCCTTGTATTTATCAACTGATTCGATGCTCCACAGTGCTGATAACTGCATCTGTTGTGTTCACGTGAGGTTTGTGTTTATTTGTTTTAACGAATAAGTTAGAGTTAAAGAATGAAGTGGCAAAATTCATGTGTGAGTGTGTGTGTGCGTGCGTGTGTGTGTGTGTGTGTGTGTGTGTGTCCATTCATCAGTCAACTAATAAATCAATCATTTAATTTAATTAGATTTAATCAATCAACCAATCATTTAATCAATCAACGAATCATTTAATCAATCATCTGATCTATCCTTCAATCAACCAACCAATTATCCTCCAATTGATCAAAAAATTAAAAAATTAATCAATCAATCAATCAACCAACCAACCAACCTTAATCTGGTTATAAGATTCCCTGGATAGCTTCAGCTTTGTCTTCAATGAATCGTTCTCAATCCTCAACTCGATAAGTCGTTTCTCCACTTCTACCCTTCTATCTTCCACCTAAAAATAGTAATAAAAATAATAATTATAATAATGATAATAAATAATAATGGTGGTGACCTCTGCAAAAAGTGAATTTCCCCTGGCCAAGTTCTTATCGGATTGCATGGTGGCAACATCCAGTTCCGTGCTTAATTCTTTTATTTTGTCTAACAATCTCTGAAGAAATGGACGAATTGGAAGAGTTGTCAATCAATCAATCAATTAATCAATTAATCAACCAATCAATCAATTATTCATTCTAGCAACCCCCAAAAATCAATCAATCAGTTAGTTAACTAATCAGTCAGAAAAAGCATGTCTACAATTATTAACACACATACATGCATTCAACAAACATTACAAAACACACACAAGAACTTAGACACAGACAGACACACAAATAAATACACACAAACAAACCTCTTTCTCATTGTACAGTGAGGTTATTTCACAATTTGACTGCACTAACTCACCATCCTTACACTTTAGTTGATATTTTAAAGCAGATAGCTCACCTGCTAAATCATCAACCCTTGATTCTAACTTATTATTCTTTACTAAGAGGTCTTGCTATTGGAGGATTAGTTACAATATTAATCATAATTTATGACAATAATAATTTTATTAACACTAATTATATTATAATAAATATTGTCATTACCTATTAATATTATTAACAATAATTATATTATAATAATTATTGTCATTACCTTCTCACGCTGTAAGATTTCTACAATTTCATTATCATCTGAAGATGAAACTGATGCCATCTGCTGTTGACTAGTGATGTTATCATTTAACTGTCTCCTCAAATCAACAACCTGCTCTTTTAACCTTTGAACTTCGACCTGGGCCTTGCCATAGAGAAGTTTTGATTGCTCTAACTCCTCTGTCAGGAATTGAAGGTCAAATTTTTGTTTGTCCGTCATTTCTTGAAACTTTTTTGTCAGCTCAGTTATGGCACTTTTCTTCTCTTTCTCTGAACTTTTTTCATAGTTTTCAATGTCCTCTTGGAGGTTTTTAATTTGATTTGATTGATTGTCTACTTTTAATTGGAGAGCGTATCTTTCTTGGTATAGTTTCTGCGGAACAAAAAAAAAAACAAAAAATTAGAAGAATAAATAAATATATAAGTGAATAAATAAGCAATATTTAAGAATGTTAAAAAAGATTATATAACTTTAAAATCCAAAGCTTATATTTTATAATTTATACTACTGATATTATTTATTTTACATATTTCAAGATTATTATAAAACAAAACAATAACATACACACTTATATAATATATATATATATATATATATATATATATATATATATATATATATATATAACATATGCATTATTCATAATATAAAATATTATTTAATTTAAAAAATTAAAAATTTAATAAATGCACGACAAACTGATATTTTAGAATCAGATTCATTGGAAACAGTCTCCAGTTGTTTCTTGTAATAATCATCTGAATCTTTCATCTGTGAGATCACGAATTTCAATCTTTCAATCTCTGCATCGCGATGCTGATTATGATCGTACCCGCCATCTTTGCTGTTGTCTGCCATACTGGGTCACCTTAATTAACGTCCGTCCGGACAATCGTGACGGAATGAATGAAACAGATCAATAATTTCTACAAAAAATTTCTACCAGTTTATTTATAATAATTTATTAATAGTTAGTTTTTGTTTATTATTATTAAAACGGTAAAAGCAAAATATTAAAAAAAGAAAAAATTTTAAATGAATTTTTAAAATAAAATTTTAAACGAAGTTTATGTTTCAATTTAAAAATACCGCCATTGTAGAAAATATAACATTAGTCCAAGGGGAGGCCTATTTACCATTAAACAACACTTTCTTATGGGTTGAAGCAGGGATATGCAAAGAACCTCAATTTTTGCAACTTTTAATTATTTTCGGTAATGTCGATTTTATTTGTTTAAATTTATACCAAATAAAAGTAATTAATTACCATATTGAATAACAATTTAAAAAAATAAAATTTTAACATTTTAAATAAAAGCAATATTCCGTAATTAGTAAATATACATACTATCGTAACTTTTGACTCGAACGATAAAAAAATCACCCTCCATCTCCCCTCCAGAAGTAAGCTCCTTGTTCAACCGTTGAAAGTGAGCGAAGGCCGTTATATTTATTCTAGTTATATGTATCAAACAGTATCTTATTGAGCAAAATAGTATCATAAAATGAATAAAAATACTTTTTTTTTTAATTTAAAAAATTCTCAATTTGATTTCATTGCGATATCGATGATGATGATGATTTTGACCTGACTAATTAAAAAACATCAAATAAAATTTATAAAATAGGATGGGTATATCGTTGAGAAATCGTTGGGGGAAATGACGTCATGTTTACAGTAGTTATTTCACTAGATGGTAGTTGATCAGCCTGTATAAAGGTTATATTCAATTCCTATCAAATAAATTTAACCAAATATCATACGCAGGCAAAACTAAATAAAGAAATATATATATATATATATATATATATATATATATATATATATATATATACGTAGTTATAATACATTTATAATATTGTATTTACACATTTAAGTTGTACAATTGTGTTATGTGTAGTTTTAAATTATTTTGAATTCTCTCGAAAAAATTTAAACTTTTTACTATATATATATATATATATATATATATGTGTGTGTGTGTGTGTGTGTGTGTGTGTGTGTGTGTGTGTGTGTGTGTGTGTGTGTATTTTGAACAGGTTGCACTGGTTGAGGGTTGAAAAACGTGTTTCCTTCAAGTTGGCAGTTTTGATGTTTAAATGTGTCAATAATACAGCACCTCCCTACCTCATCGATAGATTGGAATCATACAAATCTCATTTTTCAAAATATTCCTTCCGATCAACCGAGCGCAATTTGTTTTTTATCCCGACCACAAAGTTGGTGACGGGTTCCCGCAACTTTGCGGTTCTTGGCCCGATTGTTTGGAATGGTTTACCTCCATACTTACGTGACCCTAACCTATCATATTTACAATTTCGAAGTCAACTTAAAACTTATTTATTTGCACAATGAATGTCCGTCTTATTTGTCTATGATTTAGTAGCGCTTTTGAGATTCAACAATAAAAAAGCGCCGTATATAAATTTCCGTAATAATAATAATAATGTATATGTTACTTTTATCAACAATTATTAAAAAATTTTCAATTTGATTTCACCGCGATATCGATGATGATGATTTTGACCTGACTAATTAAAAAGCATCAATGAAAATTTTTAAAATAGGATGGAAAATTTGTTATATTGGGATATTCGTATATAAAGCGAGCAAAAGTTTAATATAAAAGCGCTTATAAATCTACGCATATTGGCTCAGCTTGGCTCGTCTTGAAATTGGATGTTAAGCTAGGTGTGGTCTCAAACAATTTGGAATTCTCCCAGAAAAATTTGAACTGCGTGCGCACATATGTAGCACTGATTACTGTTGCTTCAATAATGAATTTATATACTATATATATAAAGCGAGCAAAATTTTAATAGAAAAGCGCTTATAAATCTACGCTTATTAGCTCAGCTTGGCTTGGCTCGCTTGGAATTGAATGTTAAGCAAGGTGTGGTCTCAAACTATTTTGAATTCTCCCCGAAAAATTTGAACTGCGTGCCTACATATATAGCATTGATCACTGCTGCTTTTATAATGAATTTATATAATATATATCGTTGATGTCAATTTAGTACGGTTAACATTGTTGTTAAGACTGTATAATAGTGTACTACATACATTAAAAAAGTTTTTTACTGATGTGAATGATTGAAATGATGCGAATGTATTGTTGAAACTAGTATAAATAGGAGCTGAGACAGCATGAAAATCAGATCAGGCATTCTGCCTCGCTTAAGGCTTGAAGCGGTCTGCCTGATCTAATTTATTTTTTTTTATTTTATTTATTTTATTATATAGAGTTATATAGAGTTTGCATGTCTGTGGTTTGTGTGTTTGTATTTTGTATTTTTTTTATATTTTAGGTGGATTCTTTAGCGGTTGCTCCTGCATACATACATACATACATACATACATACATACATACATACATACATCATGTTTGTTTGTGTGGTAGTATTTTATGTTCTGTTTTACTCCTTTTTCTCTTTCTTCATGAGTCTTGAGTTAAGTTAATTAAACATAGGTAGGTGAGATTGAGATTAATTTATTATATAGGTAGGCTAGGGCATAAGGTAATTTAGTTACATAGGTAGGTTAGGGACTTCTATTCTTTTACTCTACTTGGTGTGTTTTTTGTTTTTTTTTGTTTTGTTTCACACCATACATATAACAGGTACGCGGTGGTTCCTGGGTTTAGTGGGATTTTTATTGATTGAATGTGGTAGTATGCATGGTTATATAGAGTTATATAGAGTTATATAGAGTTATATAGAGTTATATAGAGTTATATAGAGTTATATAGAGTTATATAGAGTTATATAGAGTTATATAGAGTTATATAGAGTTATATAGAGTTATATAGAGTTATATAGAGTTATATAGAGTTATATAGAGTTATATAGAGTTATATAGAGTTATATAGAGTTATATAGAGTTATATAGAGTTATATAGAGTTATATAGAGTTATATAGAGTTATATAGAGTTATATAGAGTTATATAGAGTTATATAGAGTTATATAGAGTTATATAGAGTTATATAGAGTTATCTCTTCTTAGAGGTTCTTTTCTTTGCCGACCGGTCGGCTTCTTTGCGTTTCTCTATTTTCATTTAAATCAATTAATTAAATAAGATTTTTCCAATCATTTAAGTTCATTCAGGTTCCTTCATTCAGGTTTAAGCTTTCAGAGGAGTTCATCGTGGAAGATCAGAATGGTTGTGATGTCCCGCTACGTTCGTTCATTCAGTGGCAAAAAATGCACGCCTGGCTGGGGTTCGTTTTATTGTTTCTTTGCGGTTCCTTTCTTTGCCAGTTGGTTGGCTTTTCCGGCTGGCTCGATTTTCTATTTTCATTTAAATTAAATCAAATAAATAAATTTTTTTCATTTTATTTATTTCATTCAGACTGGAGCTTCCAGAGGAGTTCATCATGGAATGTGTCAGGCTACGTTCATTCATTCAGTGGCAATGAATACACGTCTGGCTGGGATACGTTTTATTCTTTTTTCTCAGTTTTTATCTGTAATTTAACATTAAGTAAGAATGCTCACACGCACACGCACACACACACAATTACATTACGTAGCTATATAGGTAGGTTAGATAGGCATAATTTTAATTGTAGGTAGGATAGATAGGAAGCATCCAACACTAATGTAGTAGAATAGGTAGG